ACTCCTCGTTCTGCTGCTTTCTCAGTGAAGATAAAACACTGCTTTGTGGAATAAGAACAACCCTATGCCTTTCAGTTCATTAAACAGACTTGGTACAAAAAGCATGTTACTTGTTCTTGCTTCACACTTATGCACGAGTATTGCTGCAGACGACACTAGTATAAAATAAAATCTCTTAAGCCATTAACAACATTTGCAATATTATCCCATCCTGCTTTGATATTTAGGCCACCGTGCCACACATCGCCCACATGGGTAATTGTCTGTACCTAAATGTGTCAGCATTAGGTCACTGAGCAAGCAAGTTTCACACATTCATATTCAAATGTAGTTATTGTTGTTGAGTCAAGTCCATATGCATAAATGCCACATACACCTTGCCATGAGGGCGGCGTAATAAAATCAAGGAGACAATGGGATGATTGTCAATGGGTTTGAAGAAGGTTCTTAACACTTATAGTTTCATTTTAGATTTAACCAAGAGAATCTATGCTGTTGAACCAGACTAAAGCCTGGTTCACACGAGACGATTTTAAAATTGTCGGCCGATTTTTCTCCGTGTTAGACCCCACATGGGGAGATTAAAAATCCTGCGTCTAACCACTTTGGTCGTGCAGTGTGTGGTGCGTAGCCACACGGCAAGATCACGCAAGCCACAAACATCACACACGAACCGACACCCCCCCCGAGCATTCCCAGGTCAGACGGAAATCTCACAAAATCTCTCGAGATCAAGCGTGACTTCAGAGTAAACAGTCATGGCGGACGAAGAGGATGCAGTGGCGATAGTGTGCAGTTTGTTGTTAACAGAGAAGAGACGTAATCCAAAGAAAAGGCAATGGTCAAAGCCATGCTGCTGTGTTTTGTTTTTTTTCCGGTGTTTCCTCACCGGCTTGTCACCTCGTCTTCTTATTGGCTACACGCCGTAGTCATGGCAACGCGCTCGCTTGTCCTCGGAGGACACCACACACGACGAGAAATCGGGCCAAAACAATCCAACATGTTGGATATCCCCGATTTGAGATCGGGAGCAGTCCCGATGTCCTTCCGAGCGACGAGTGCAGTCTTAACACACCACACACGGCAGGATAATCTGTAAGATTTTGTTACGGAAATCGGAGCGTTTCTTAAGATTGTCGTAAGGGGTAAATCGGGTCTAAATCGGCCTAAATATCCTGCCGTGTGAACCAGGCTTCACTACAACACACAACTTTGACCGAAGTTAAATAATTGAATAAATCTCAAAGTTTTAAGGATGACTGTGTAATGGTTCTGTTGTATATGAAAGTGAGGGTCCAAATTATTTTCTAAACATGTGGCAATAAAGGCAAATCATCTCTATTCTTCTCATCATACATCGCGGATAAATATAGAAAATAGTGCTTAATTTGGAACCTGCCAAAGTATCCTTTTAGTTGAATCAGATTTTATGACTGCACCAAAGCAGTGTGAAAGTTTTCCACGAATACGCATCATCCTCATTTGAACAGCTGACACATCCATTTATGGCTGTAAAATTAGATTTTTCTGAAAAATCTTTTTCTACTTCCAATATTGAACAAATGTGTTGGCTAGCTTTTTTCTGTCTGCACTTGGCCAGTATGTTGATTGGTGTTTGAGGGAAAGTCTGCTGTTTTTTTAACCGGTTGTCCTGGATTATTGTTTATGGTTTAAGGTGTTTGAGTAGCCTCTATGAGCCTGTATGAGTGCAGATGTATTAGCTGGAGATCTCTAAGTCATTGCTGTGCCCTGATAGGTTGATACAATCCATTCAATGACTTAGTTTGACTGTCAATGCTTGTTTCGTCTGTCAGTTTGAAGGCCTTGAAATCATCTGGTTAAACAAGGTCGGAAAGAACCAGCTGCATACAGACCCGGACACGCGTGCAGTGGATAATTGGTTGGAACAGCGTGGAGCAGTATCCTCTTTGCCGTCACTGTAGCCTGAACTGGCACATTGAATAACAGGGCTTATAAAACATGAAAGACTAAAGAATGAACACCCTGATTTTAGCTCCACACACAGAAGAGCAATTAAGGCCACAAAGTTCAAGGAGTGGTGGCCATTTTGAATTATTTAATGCAGCCAAGGGCAATAGTATTTGAAAGCATGTATATTTTTCATTTTATTTATTTAATACAGGGATGTTTGCTTCTCAAAAACTTCAGAGACATTTGATGTAAGAGCAACGTTGTTATACTTTATATATTCGTGTATGACTGTGTAAAAACAAACAGCCGGTGCTCTAGACGTTAGCTAGCTTATCCCCAGGTACAGATACATGTTTGCAAAAGGCTACAATGCACAGCCTAAAGCCCGGTTTAAGTAGGCCCCCACTTAAACCGGGCTTTAGGTGCTATGTGACCACGGCATTTGTGCTTGTTTGTCTTCAGGCACGTTTGAAGACTTGGGCCAGGGCCCGCTTGAAGAGCCCAGATAAGGGAGGGTCAGTGTGGCGGGTGGTGGGGAGTGGGGGATGAGGTGTGGTGGGGACTTGATATTGTGCGTCACATTACGTGTTCCGTTGTGACGCGCATTTTCACACACGTCTCTCCGTGCACTCGTATTATCCGCTTGTGTCAAACCTTTCATATAAGCCCCCGGACCGTGGTCGAGGGGCGCAGGGGGGTGTGTGGCTGCAGGGCCAAAGAAAAGCGTTTCCTAAAGGAATAACTCCCTTCTGTTCTCCAGAACCTCGCTGTCACAGTGTGCTGCTCTTGCAATAACACGTCAGAAATTCAAGAATCAGATTTTATTTAATCGCCAGATCACACCAACACACACTTGTATCCTGCCTTTCTCCGGTCGCTCTGCTCGTACGTCACACTTTTCATGCTTTCATTCTCATTCATTCATTTCGCAGCGCTCTTATGCTCGTTACTTAAGAGGCGCGCTCCCGTGTCCGTGGCGCATACACACACGCATACACACACGCATACACACACACACACACACACGTTACCCACTGAACTGCTGCACTTTGCATGAGATCAATGTGGACAAGTGTGAGATGTGTCTTTCCCTAAAAATCCGTACTCGAGTTGATAGCTACAGTAGCAGAGTGTAAACAGGAAGAGAACCTGATACTTAACTCGGACAACAAGGTCGTCGCTAAAGTTAGTATTAGCGCCACCAGCTGGACCGAGCGTTGCTACAGCACAGTTGCTCCGCGGGCTGTGCTTCACACCCCTGTGGTGACGACCTGGGCCACTTTGCCTAGTTCGTTTGTAAAACCTGTGACCGTGCCCTTAAAGTTAGTTTGAATCTCCATACATCTTATCATTCTGCGAAAAATGAGGAGCAAAGCACAAATCGGTGGTCCAAAACGGTTTGTAAAGCGAAGTACAAGGATATGTGCTGGTACATTTCTCTTTGCTGCCATGGCGTCCTTGATGGGGATAATGCTAAATCCCTGTCTCCCAGGGTCAGCGCTGTGTAAGCTGACTCTGCGGCCTCATGGTCCTGTGGAGTGATACAAGCGAGGAGCGTGTCCATCCAGCTTTGAATCAGAGGGTCACTAAATACCAACAAAAACAATCTTGGGGGTTCACTCCTGCACACTCTTTGTAGCTGTGACCAGTGTTTAGAGGAAAACAAAAACATTTCATTGAAGGTAAACAGGGGGATTTACTACTTCTGGGTGGATCATCAAGACTATAGGTCCTCACAATTGTCAATCATTCTAGTAATACGTGCTCAGACCAGAGAGTTTTGTTCAAAAATTGGAGAGAGGGCGGTTCTTTCCGAAAATGTCTCTACTTATGGAAATGGCCAAGCAACCTCCATTGTTCCACTGTAATCAATTGAAATGCCTATAAACTGTAAAGCTTCACTTTCATGGATTCTGTGTCAATCTGCTCTAAAAGTGTCCAACGGATAATGTCTTCATTCAGAATTTTATGTTGTTTTTCAATTACAGCTCTTGATCCGTCCAACATCCTTTGTGAGTCAGGTAGGGGTGGAGTGGAACAAAAAGCAACTCAGAACTGTGGTCAGCTTCAGTCCAAGGGCACTTGTAAGATGAGATTTAATTTATCCTTAAATTTGTAGTTTTCTATGTAAAAGGAAGCAGGATTTTTACAATATTCAGTTGCAAATATTCAGTTGCAAAGCCAGCTTTTGGCACTGGGGTTATATGCAAATAATGGGAATTATTGTTTAATTTTTAAACTTTTTTTCCTACTCATGATTCTTGTAAAATGTAATTTAATAAAAAGAGAGTGATAAGGTGACCTTTTGGCTTTAAAGGGGACAAACATACATGGACACCTAGAAAAAGAAGCTTTTTCCAGGGCCATGGTCCAAGCCCTGGTCCAAGCCCTGGTCCGAGCCCTGGTCCGAGCCCTGGTCCGAGCCCTGGTCCGAGCCCTGGTCCGAGCCCTGGTCCGAGCCCTGGTCCGAGCCCTGGTCCGAGCCCTGGTCCGAGCCCTGGTCTGAGCCCTGTTCAGGGCTGTTTGTTTTCCAATCCGATACACAGAGGTCGGCCCAGTGTCCATCCGAGCCCAGAGCAGTTCTGTGTTCCTCTCGAATGTGGAGTGGTCTTATAAACATATACTCCTCCACATGAAAATGAGCCTGTGGCAACGTGCAATACATATTTATATAAAATTATTACCTATTATGTTGTCCCTGACCTGTGCTGACTCCTTTATGTAAATCACAGTGATTTATGGAGTGTCTGAGCTTTCATTTAAATCATTACTTTCCACAGCGTTGGTATGGACAGAATCTGGACTATGTGGATAAGACAAGTTTTGTCTGCAATTTGCAAAAAGTTGTGAATTTACAATATTGCAGGATAATGCGATCATATAACATGTACTTTTGATAGAATGCCTGGGTCTTATGTAGCGCACTGTCACAATAATTCCGCCGTCTCGTAAACCCATAGTGCTCTGTGCTTGTCTTCTTTTCATCTGTATTCTCAAGTGTCAGAATGGTGTTGATATGAAATATTTCATCTCTGTCTCCAGGTTTTATCTACACTTGTGGTGGGACGATGAAAGGCCGAAACGGCAGTATAGAGTCCCCGGGCTTTCCCTACGGTTATCCCAATGGGGCCAACTGCACCTGGGTCATTGTGGGTGAACATGGCAGCAGGATCCAGCTCGTGTTCCTCTCATTCGCCATCGAAGAAGAGTACGACTTCCTGTCTCTCTATGACGGGCATCCACATCCGGCAAACTTCAGAACCAGGTAGGAATGTTCTGCATGAAGGTTGTGCCCTTCTGTTTTACTATGTTGAAATAGTTTATTCTGGTCTTTACTTCTCGGTACCCAACAGAAAAGGCACAATATCTATACAAAATATATTTGACAATCAACTTAATATTTTCCTTGAACAGTTTGGTCTAGCTTTATAGCCATAACGCCCTGCCCTACGCCCTACCGTGTTGCGGGAAATTTTTATTGTTTCATATTACATTGACTGTATTAAATCCCTCATCCTTCATGCTTAAGTTAATGTTCCAATTGGGCCATGTGTGTGGCTACATTCCAAATGTTTCTACTAATGTTCCATCCTTGGGCATGAATACTTAACGGTTTGGACTCAATCCGTGCTTTGTTTCCTAGATTTCCTTTGTGTTTTGAAGAAGCCTAAAGCCGGTTCGCTTTCCATCGTCATTTAATTAAGATAAAAAGCACATGTCTATGATTATTTTCACCTTCAATGTGTTTTCTCAAGAACGGCAATGAAATAATAAATCAGTTCTTAATTTTTCTGACCCAAACATGACCGTACTTTAAACTGTGTATTTTATATGCTGCAGCTATGAGTTCTCAAAAATTAAGCCTTGTGCACATGAATATTTGGACCTAAATTGCTCTTTTTTCCCCGTTTGCCATGGTGACTTGGTTATACAACACCCTTCTGGCACAAGAATTGACTTGAATTGACTCCGGTGGCTTTCTGTGTAGGGCTGAGTGGCTGAGTAGGTAGGTCTTCCTGATCAAGCTGAGCATCAACATCTGGAGAAGGGTCCTGGGTTCTTTACTGTAGTGACCGCTGCTCCTGACCGGTCGCACTATTAGCATTGAAGACTGGATCAATTACAGAGGGAAGTTTTACTGTACTGTATGTAAGGTAGGTCATTTTAACATGTACACGACCTACGTTTCTTACAAGACAGTTTTGGCCTCTATGCAAAACATCTCTTTCTATTAAAAAAGGTAGAAAAGGCTAGCCTGGCAAAATCCTCAAAATCATAAACACTCAGTTAACCCAAAGAATATGTCAAAATGCGCTAAATAGCTTTTTAAAACGTTCTATTATGATGATTAAAAAAACATTATAAGTTTGCCTCTACAAAGAAGTATATATTTTCAGATGAAAATGACTGAACAATCCAGATTGTAACCGCGGAAATGATTCATCCTGCTTGATTAGGATTTCCTGCTTATCTGAAATAACAGGAAATTATGTCTTGCACACTTGCACAACGTCTCATTGACTTGACTCATGCTTTGTGTGTGTGTGTGTGTGTGTGTGTGTGTGTGTGCGTGTGTGCGTGTGTGGAGGATTTTGATCCACAGAGTTACAATCAGCCACTCGCTATAAGCCAAATTGCCTCTTTCTTCCTCTCTTTCTGTGCTCTCCTTGTCTTTCACACATCGCGCTGACGCACACACACGCACACACACATTTGGACGCTCGTGGACACAGGGCAAACTGGTGATTAGAAGGTCAGATCCATTTACAAGAAGAAAATGGTGATTATGAAGCGAGTGATTAGCGTGGTTCCAGCACACATGCTTCCTCTGTCCGTTGTGTGGTGCTGTCCTGGGCCCGCGGAGGGGCCCTGGACCACGACTCAAGAACACTGGGAAGGACATTTGATAATCGACACTATCATTATAAAGAAGTGCGTGAACATTAGACATGGATGGTTTCAAAATACACTTTGTTATCTATGTATACTATTTTCTTTTTTTGCGACAAACATGTTATTTCTACGTGATCCTGGCATTTGGTTATCACACAACAACAAAAGACTAATTATAGATTGTACACCATGATTTTTTTCCCATCTGCTTTTCTTAGGAATGTACTCTCTACTTCCCTTTTACCTGCTTCTGTTACGGAATTACGCTAAAATACACGCTGCTCCCATTGTCTAATCGGGCTGTGGCTGTGGGGGTCTGGCTCATGGACCCGGTGGAGGCCTCTCTTGTCTGGGTCCTGCGTCGGCCCCGGTGGCTGCAGGTGGCTCTCTGCTCCTGGTGCAGACGGCGCTTCTTCAGCTGGCCACTCTGGCACCCCGCCCTATATCTATTTTCATGGTTTTGCTTATTTTATCCGTTTGGTGTGCGCCTGTGTGTGCGCCTGTGTGTGCGCCTGTGTGTGCGCGTAGATGTGTACCTTTTGAGTCGGCTTTAGCTATTCGGTTTTTTTTCATATTCCAGTTTATGTGGCTTTGACAGTGACAGAGTAATTTGTTTTAACCCAAGCCCATGACATATATGTACAGTTAAAACCACTGGTGTGTGTGGGGCAATATGGTGTTATTATGGCTCTTTATTTTTCTCATATCCCGATAATCAGGTGCTATCATGCCCCTTGATTTGACTTTTTACTTGTTGTGGAACTTTAACTAAATACATAATTGTGCCTTTGCTGCAAAAAGCCTAAAATGTTTTACGACATACATACCTCTAGTTTGTATATGAGCTGAAAAAATTAAATATGATTTTCTGTTAACACAAATTACTTCTTTTTGTCATTGTCATGGCAACATGTTCACAAATATGCCATGGATCTGTTTGGCTTTTTTGATAAGGATGATAAAATATCTTAAATGATGATAATAATCATGAATAAATTGGCCACAATACTTTCACTCGATTGTCCTATAGGCATTGTTCTTCCTTGAAGGACACATTCCATTGGCTTATGAAAACAATAACGTGACAAGTAGACACTAGAGACTCTACCAGCTGCCTCAGAATTAATATGTGTATCCAAAGAGAGTTTTGCGTTCAGGCTAATTGAGGTGGTAAACGCCTCTTTTATTGCCAGATTTCACAAATACCGAGCCTCTTTTTCTGGCTGCTCTCAGGGGTGTCCTATCGGGGACGAGAGCCTATAGCTTCCAAAATGGTGTTCTAAAGCAGAGTGAGTGCTCAATTACTTAATGAACTATCATTCATTAAAGCTGCACTAACTGACTTTATTTTTGTATTCATTACAAAAATGCTATCCATGTCCGTGCAGTGCATTGGGATAAACGTCCTTTTGAAGAATAAGTAGCCCAGGGTTGTACAGGCGTGACTTTATATTTTAGATCGAGTTTTCATAAAACAAGGAAGAGACTGTGTTTCGGGTCTCAGATTGTGACCAATCACAGCAGACCACTAGCCCCCACTTTCTTGAGAAACGCTACAGGTCTCTGGTTTGCACAGACAGCTGAGTTAGCACAACAAGCGGCGGAGGCTAACCCGAAACTTCATGTGTCTTCGTCACTGCTTACACAGCGAAACATCCATCCGAAAGAAAGTCTCGTCTTCTCCACGTTTCCCGGTTCTGTCATTCTATGGTCACGCCATCCACGTGCAAAAGTGCCATATTGTTCCATATTGTGAGACGCTAGCTCCGAAGCTAACAACAGCACAGAGCACAGGCTGCGGGGAGGGGGGTAGTGGGGGACGAAAGCTCTGTGGGTGCGGGGAGGGCGAGCAGAGAGAGCGAGGCCAGCGCTCACGTTTGAGAATGTCTCCAAATCAGTTAGTGCAGCTTTAATGCACTTTGAAAATGCTAATACAAATGTTAGTTAAAGCTTAAACTTTTTTAATATTTCATGTTGAAAGAGAATCTTCTACACACTTGAATGACGTCGAGCCGTAAGTCAGTACTTTACTGTGAGCTGAGAGCTGATTGGCTGAGTGAGGTTGGTCCTCACTTTTTCAAAGCTGATTTAGAGGGGGGGGGGACAAACTAGTTGGATGTATTTAATCAAATGTTGTGTAATTTAATATGTGTTGAAGATAATATAGTTCATATAAAAATATAATAGGTTTTGAGTTTTATATGCATCACTTACGAGTTAAAATAGAAAGTTTTGGATGACTTGAGGCAAGTTCTAATAAAGTTTGAAGATAATGGCAGGTCAGAGAAAACATAACACAAAAATGCACTTTGTAAAAGAAAAAACACCCAGAAAGAAACTGTGCTCATATTTAAAAGATGTATGACTTTTGGGACACTGCCTCAGAAATGGGAGATGACGGCTGCAAACTCCACTTCTGTTTTGAAGAAATCACATCATTAATAATAAAGCGTATTGTAGCGTGGCAATATGTTAGTGAAGCACAAAGACGCCTTTTCATGGACTGAAGGCATGTTGTATGTTTAGTCAAGATAGATGTAACAAATATTGATTGCTTTACAGAGTTTGGGGTATTTTGTCCTAAATACAACTGTGAAAACATCCCATTTCAGAGGACAGCATCACACTGGAACAACCCTTTTAAAACAAAAATGTATGTGGTGCCCTCAAACTCTATACGAAATAAAGAACTACTAAAATCATTACCAGAACAATCGGATAAGATGAAAGAGACATGTAGGGAAAGTGTGGATAGTTAATTTTACTTAATTAGTTAAATTACGAATAACTGCTCTAAACCTAATTTCATTGCTGTGTGAAAATGAAAAAACAATACATCATCTAAAAGAAAACATACAGTACCTGTCTTTTGATACAGTCATTTTTGTAATGAAATCATAAATTATGAAATCCAAAACAAATGCTCCCATTAGTCACTTTCAGGATTTGTTCACTGTTCCAATAATTGGATGGTTGACTTTTTTATGCACATTACAAAAGTTAATGATTACGTCTGTCGCAACATGTATTGGCTGTTGCTGTGTGACTGCTGTTTTGTGTCGCTACAGGAACTTATTTTGTCAGATGTCAGTAAGTTGGTGTTCTGCGGTTGAGAGCAGGACTGTGTGGCCCCTGGAGGAGCTCAAGTGTGGGCTCTGTGTCTGCAGGTCAGAGGCTGCACACATGACGGACGGAGGACAGAGGCCGCGGTGACGTTGCAGTGACTGGACCACACTGTTGTCACTCTGGCCTCAGGCTCCACATACTGTACATGTGTCACCAGCACCTGACAGAGCCGCTGGAGCCTGTGATCTGTACCTGTGATCTGTACCTGAGGCTCTCATATAGTATGTTTATTATATTATTAAAGAATATTCATAGCCAACACACACAAACACACACTATGGTCCTGGAAAACTGCAAAAAAACACCAAATTTATACTTTGTGCAACTCAAAAAAAGAAGAAATCTTGTTTTGCAAGTAATTCTTTAGCAAAAGAATATTTTAAGTATAAACTATGTGGTGAAAAAAAGTATGAAGGGTAAATAATACTTTTCTCCCTGTAACTCCCTATGCTACCACCAGAGGGAGGAGTTGATTTTTACTAAGGCCACTACTTTTGTTTTAGAAGGCAGAAAACTCCTTTTAGTTTGAAGTTCGCACAATGACATCATCACAGGACTGACACAGGAGCTTTCAGAGAAAAGGCATTTTCTGCCAGAAGCTTTTGATGTTCGCTTGGATAGGTCTAAAAACAAAGCAGAGTCTGTTTTTGTTCAGGCAACAATATGATAAGATCATGATACAGACAAAGTTGTTTTAGCATTAAATGTCTTCTTTAAGTTTGTTTACAATACATTTTATTAAGGAAATTCTGAAGATATTGATCGAAAGTACAAAATAATAACAAATACATTTGGGATTTTCAAGCAAATGGATTGGATTAGAACAACACAACTATTATTTACCTCCCTCTTTTGTCTTTTGTGTCAGTGTCATGATGCTGCTGCTGGAGTTTGTTTATTCATTTTGAGATTAGCATGAGCTGTAGACGGCATGCATGAATGAATAAACCAGGCTTAATGCTGTCCCGCTGTAAATCAAGAGATGTTTTAAGCACTTTCCACTCTTTAATATGACTTGTTTTATGCCCTATTTTATGCTGTCAAGTTTGCTGAATAACTCACAGCACATAATGTTAATGGAAGCTGAAAGGACAGTCCCCGCATACTGATGATACACTTATAGTCTGTGTATTAAGCACTTAAATTTCCTCAGGTCTCAAAAAGCATGTCATTGTTGGTTTGTTCATCAAATTATTGTTGTTTTACATCCTTTATTACATCTGGTATTCAATTACGATGTCAGGAAAATATATATTGATTGTTTGACATATTTTTAGGCTCTCCATTCTACAATTTTGTTTTTCCAATAATAAAGTGGTTCGAGCTTGGCCCATTGACAGATATATCCTAATGTTATGGGTAAATACATGACCAAAGTTTATTGCATTTTCTTATGATGTTCAAAGTATTGGAACCAAAAGATTAATTGTTAGACCCAGATATTATTGATATGTTACATCAGATCAGATTTCCGGTTTGTCAAGACTTCGGATGATCCTTGAGTGCGGCGTCACCACTGCTTTTACCAGTGCTATATCCTGAATAGGACTTGAGAAGATCCCACTTTGAAGCTTGATTTCTTTCCCTCACGTGGTTGAGGGGTGTCCTGATCTGGGGTGACTTTCCTTCGATAATACAATCCAATCCAGTTTGTGCAGGGGTGTCAAACAGCGGCTGGCTCGGTGGACTTTTAGAATCCTCGTCACAATTCTTGCGATACAAAGTATAATGACACGATTATCATTCTTTGACAATGCCACTACTGATTCTACTGATCTAAATCCAATTGAGAACATTTGGGGATGGATGGCAAGAAAGATTATACAAATGGACATCAGTTCCAGCCAATGCATGGTTTTCATGAAGCTAACTTCATCTCTTGCACGTTCCCATTAGCTTCCTTAGCCATTTCCATCTGGCATCCCCGAAATACATTATTTAAGTGAGCAACATTAACCGGCTTTTCTGAGGGATGAAAATGGTAGCTCTTGTCACCTAAATAGAAATGTTATACTTGTCCTTTGATGCTAGAGTTGGAGATTTTGTTTTATTTTAAATATTATAGCTATTGTTCACTTAACTTGTGCTGTGTCCTCATTCCTACTGTTCTATAACTTGTGATGCAACACTGAAATTTCCCCACCTTGGGACGAATAAAGGATCTCTTAATCTTAATCTTTGAAAACATATTTCGATAATACCCTGCCGCTCCCAAGTGAGTTTTAGTTTCTAACTGCTCCTTCAACTCTGTACACTCTTGTAGTCCCCAAAATATTATTTATTTATAACTTTGTTAAGAAAAAAATGTGTTTGGTTTGAAAAGGACAGTTCACAGAAAAATTTGACTCAGAGACATATGTTCTGCACCATATTTTAGCTACACAGAGAATGTCTGTCTGCATGCCTTAAGCCTAGCGTACATCGGACTGGCAACTGATTATATCCGTCGCATATGAGTTGCTGCCCCGCACACATCGACAATCTGACGAAAACGGGCAACTCCCAGTAGCAGACCAGTCTCGGGAATAACAGCGCGTACATCGACAGCAACTGTCCGTCACCTACAGTGTGTTTTCTGACATAAACTGTTGCGGTCGCGCAATACACGCAATACACACATGTTGTCGGAACAGCGCATGGAGCGCGCACATCGGGTCATATCTCCGAAACTGAGGACAACTAGTTGCCGAAAAGTAGAACACGGGCAACTGACTGAAACTGGAGACCGACTGTTCATCTCCAGTTGTAAGAGCGCGCACATCGACCGATTTCGGCAACTGATCATCTCCCACCGTCTCCTCTCAGTTGCCAAAAGCCGCCTTGCAACTAGTTGTCTCCAGTTTCTCTGTCGATGTACGCTAGGCTTTAGTTACATGAGAAAAAAAACACAGCAACCTAAAAGCAAGGCTACATGCATTTTTATTTCTGTGAGACTTGAGTGTCTCGCTGAGCCCTTTTTGTATGACCCAGTTAGCGTCAACCATCTTCTACAGCATAACTTTCCCACCTGGCACTGTCCCAGCCACATTGAGTCATAAGATCATCCCAAAACCACAGCCTAAACCATAAAAGCACTCATTTCTCAAAAGAGGACAACCCTCCTCAGCAGGCCCAGGGAAACACTGGTCTGTGATTGCTGTGAAAATCCATACATGGGCAACATTCCCATCCGGAAACGCTGTGGTGTGTGTGGTGATGTACAGAACTGTGGTGAGGTGAGTGTGAAATGAGGTGTGTTTACCCCCGAGGACGTGCTATTTCATCTCCTCCTGCATCAGTGCTGCCCTGCGGGGGTAAGAGTGGTGTGCACCGCTCACAACAGCCACAATGCTCTGCACAAGTTAAAGAGACGGGAAAGGAAAATGCACTTTATATTATTACTTCAGGGGCAGAAACGAATAATATAAAGAGACATGCTTTCCAAGTTGTGCATACGGTTTTTAGGAAGTGTCTTGTATTGTTTTTGCTTTCTTAGGTTGATGCATTATAAGTGTATATGCTCCATTGGTATTTAACATAGGAAAATACCAATGGAATAAGATAAATGAACTATTCCATAATCCAACATGAATATTTTTTCAGATTATCATACAAACACTTCTGTCATTTGGAAGGTGAACAGAAGGCAAAGCAAGTTTATGTGTATAGCACAATTCATACACAAGGCAACTCAAAGTGCTGAACGAAATAGGAAAGCATTAAAATCCTAAATAATCACAGTACATTAAAAAGAATGTTTAGTCCTGACTCTGGGCAACAGCAGGAGCACAGGGACTCCTCAGAGTCCGGGCTGGTTCATATGGGACTAACATGTCACTAATATATTTTGGTGCGAGGCCATGGAGAGACTTGTAACAAGCAGAGCTGTTTTAAAGTCTATTCTCTGAGCCACAGGAAGCCAGTGCAGAGACCTGAGGACCGGACTAATATGGTCGTACTTCCTGGTACTAGTCAGGACTAATGTGGTCGTACTTCCTGGTTCTAGTCAGGACTCGAGCTGCGGCATTTTGAATTTACTGAAGCTGTTTTACTTAAGCAGTTGAGGCTTTTAGTTAAGCAGTCCTAAATGTTTTACATCTAGATCTAGAAATAATAGACCTAGAAATGTGTCCATACATGTGTTATGTATAAATTATTGTGTGTTTTTTTACCTTTTTTAGGTAAGTTATTACTTATATTAAATGCCACAATTCTGAGAGAGAGTTATTCAAAATTATAATGTTCAGTAATTATGTATAATATATTACTTTCTAAGTCAAATGTTTCATTCATATATCTGATGATTCGTCATATATCACGTTATCACATTTTGAATGTGATAAAGTGATAATGTGAACTTCTCGTTGAAGTTCCCATTTTCACTCTACAAAAGGAGAACGCAGAAATAACTGATTGATTCAAACCTATTCCATCATGAGTTCCCAGATACTGTTTTCTGACTATTCCCAGTCCTTTATCACTTCTCTAATGAAACAAAATCATCTCTTTTGCACAATCACACTTTCCCAGCCTTCTCTAATGGCCACAGTTCACCCTTTCTTCTTAACGTCTGTATGTGAGCTCCTTCATTTTCACATTATTAATTCCTCCCACCCCCCTCCTGCAATGCCCCCTCATCCCCATCTGTCTCTCTCACCAAATGTCATTAATTCAGCCCCTGATAACTACCGCTGTTCTTTTCAGCTCATCCCGTCGCAAGATTATAATTATTACAATAATGTTAACAGTGTGGTACAATATTCAGGAGTCAAATTCTCCCGATGATGTATCTCTCTTGAGTGTCGAAAACGTGCCTACACCACAGAGATTATGTCAACCAATGGCTGAGGGGTTGCACAATGTTCTATTTTGGTTCAATGGTTTGTTAAATGTGTTACAGCGAGGGGTACTTTTAATACAGAGCTGAAAAAGTGTTTTGAGTTATATAGCGCAAATTAACCTAACGAATGATCAAACTCAAGTGATGACAATACCTCTCTCCCCTCGCCAAGGATGAAGGTACTTATACTTTGATAACTTGTCAACAATTTCAAGACTGTAACCTTTGATTTCCTTCTTTGATCCATGATTTCACTGTGAATTTAAAA